TCAAGATCTACGGACCAGGTGATCAGAGATATATCCGTGTATTTATATTTATCCCTCGCCAGGCTAAAGCTGTATCCATCTGAGCACAGGGATAAAGGTGTAACCTACCCGAAAATCGTTCGCATATGGTGCCTCTGGTGCGGGTCACATTATTTCTAAAAATTTACGTGTAACCGGAAATGGCCAAAAATTTTTAATTAAAAATGGATAAAGAACATTCACCAAACTTATCTAGAGTACCAAAATGTTTTTGTAAACAACCCGCATCTGTTTGTCTATCTGAAAGATCAGGAACTCTTATTTACGATTGTCATTATGTTAAGCATGTTAATCCTTGGAATTCAGGTATTTTGCTAGAATATGACGATAAAAATAAAAAGACTATATTATGCACAGTTTTCAATTTAGCCAATTATCCTGGAAAGGTAAGAAGCAAATAACTTTCTCGAATTTACATGCAATAAATTATATTGGATATTGATTTTAAGAGCATTTTCTTATTTAGGAAGCTATTGAAAGATCCCCTCAATCCATTCCATTTACTACTTCATCTACAAATTCACATTCATCTGCTATTTCATTTACTTCATCCATTTCATCCACACAAACCACAGAAATTATGAATAATAATAATAGTAATAATGATGATGACAATAATAACATTGATGATGTTGAATCGAGGTGTTGCAAAACAAAGGAGAATAGAATATGTGGTTTTCATGTACATCTACCATCATGGAATAAAATATGCAATGGAAGAATATTTAATGCGAATAATCGTGAACTTAGCACATGTCCTTTTTTTAACTTTACGTTTTGTGTAGAATTTCAAACTATAAATCAATACCCCATCAACATACCTTCTGTGCCAAGATGTTATTGTAAAAGACCAATTGTATTGACAAGAATTACTACACCTGGTAATATTGGAAGATGGTATATGGCTTGTGCAAGTTATCACGTTAGTGTGCACATATGTTTATATGAATATATTATATATGTTTATTTTTATATAATTAAAAAACATTATATTTTATTAGGTACCAGGAGCAAAGCCTAAATGTTCATTTTTTAAGTGGGCTGATGAAGTTTTATATGATAAAAATGACCAATGTTTTCATGATGATTTTTACAAATTTGAACAAGTATTTATTAGGGAACCAACTTATCAAAGTTGGCGAAAAAGATTGGTTTGTAATATAAAACAAGAAATAGATGAGATTATAGCAAATGACAATGTTAATGTAAACACCAGCATCAACAACAACAACAACAACAACAACAACAACAACAACAACAACAACAACAACAATATGAATAAAAATATTCACCACCAACATCTTCAAGACATTCAAGATGCTCATATTAACAATCGTGATGATGACAATTTTTTAGCTAGTATCAATAATAATTTTATACATTCTTCTGATCCCACAAGAGTGAAGATTGCTGGATTAGATTTTTAGAAGAAATCTCATTATTATTATGAGCTATCATTATTCTTTTAGATCAGTTCTTTTATTTATTTTATTTATTTTTGGTAAAATACAAAAACAATTTTGTTAATCAATATAATGAGTGACAAGAAACAGGACCTTGCACATTTATATAATTATGATTCTAGAAAACTTGTCATTAACAATTCTTTTATTTTATTATGATGCAATAATAATATAATGATGACAATATATATAATAGTAGTAAAAATAATATTATATGGAAATTATATTGGTAAATAGGATAGTTAAAATAAAAAAAACAATTATGAACAAAAATTTTTAGTTTCTTTATATAAAAGATTCATCTTCTTTCTTTCATGGTTATTAAATTAATTAATAAATTTTATAGAGTCACAAAGATAAAAAATTAAATAATATGGCTAACAACAAACTTGCCCAAATTCAATAACTCATGATTTTAATCAAAAGCATGTATGTATACAATAATTGGGTGAAAAATGTTCAATTGTTCGTTAATGAACACTTTCAAATAGATAAATAAAATCTAATATATATATATTAATAACATTTGTTTTATATAGGTCAAGTTTCTCATCTATTCATCCATATGACAAAAAGAGACATATTAATATGGGATTAGATTGATTGATTGGTTGATTGATTGATTGATTGATTTGGCCAATCAATCATGATTATTGGGAAATAGAATTTATAACAAACCTGCAAGATAATTAGCCATGTATAAAAATACCCACAGTTATGGATATTGAAAATAGTAATACCTGCTGGACAACTTCAACTTGAGCCTATTTGCTCATTTATTCAAATAAACCAATATGGAAACTACCACCGATAATCATAATAATAGATGAAGGAATAAAAATTGATTGGTATCCACAAAATTTGTTCTACAACAAGTTCATCTATATAAGTGATCCCAGTCAGACAGACAGCTTGTAAAAGTTGGCATTATTCTATATATTAATAAAATAAAAGCTATGATTTACAATCATACCTTCAGATTATATAGCCAATACATTCACTCCAAATGCAAAGTATTTAAATTAATTTTTGTAAATAACTTAAACACACTTATGAATTCATGTAAATTATTTTTTTTCAAAAATTTAAATACATGTATTAATGGTGCACAAATTTAGAATTTTTACTAAATTTTAAAGCATAATAATCTAATGAAGATGCTTTGCTATTAAAAAGTATCAATAAAGTTATAACTGATTTGACCAAATTGTTGAATAAGCTAGATTTTTATGATATAGATATTGGATTGGAGAGGTTTTTTTGTGATAAATAAATAATTATCAGTAGCACGTTCAGCTTTTGCACATCTATATTTTGGATGAGAACTTTTAAACCTCATTCTAGCATTTAAAAGCAAGGTCTTCCATATCTCGATGCAGTATTATCAAATAATTGGATTAACGATATTGTTTTATTTAAATGTGAAATATTGTTCCGAAGGTGATTTAGAAATTAGATGCATGTATTTGATGTTTCATCAATTGAAAAGGATATTACTCCATTTATTAATTATCTTCAAGTGACTTTTATGATAAAACCAAACTTGTGAAAAGTTATGACAAAGAGCTTCTTCAAAATTTACAAATTTATAATGAAGTTCTTGATTTCTACTTGGATTAATAAAAAACATGATCCATATAACCAAAATAACCAAATTATATGGATTCGAATCAACTTTTTGAGTCTATATTTAACATGAAGATTGAAAAAATGGAGGAGTTAGTTGGTGTTTATAATTCAATTTGTTGAATTTAAAAGAATCAAATGAACTTTTGGATAAAATTCTTATTTTAAGTCAAATAAATAATTCAATATTAAATGGTTTGGTCCTCGACCTGCAATATATGATAACACACTTGGTGGATCTTACATCGGTAGCACTGTTATTGATTTTGATGTAACTATTTTTACTATATAGCTTGCAGCCTTTCATTTGTGAAAAGCGCGTCATAAATTGTGATGTAGTCACGTGATATATGTATTTAATTTTGATTTGAACGGTTATGAATAAATAGTCTGGTATCTTGAAGAATCATATTTTTAAAAATTATTGAAGAATATTACAGAACAAAATAATTTAGATTTTTTAATATGCAAATGTTGGTGAAAATACAAGTTTATTCATTATTTATAATTTATGGATAAAATAACAATATATAATACTTGATGTATGATTAGCTATGAACGAATTCATCAGCAATGCAGAATTTATTTAATGATTTTCAAGTTTCAGTTGCATATAGCACTTTTTTTAAGAGTATATATCAGCTTTCTAAGGGCAGCGAACTCAGGATTCATTATTTATATTTAAGAATATATTATTTAATTTAAACAAAATAAATTGGTTTATAAGCATTCTTAAAGTAAATTTATTCAATTACTATAATTTATGCTTTTATTAAATAAGATATTTACATACTTGTAAAAATATTAAAGTTAATCGGGCATTAGAAATGTCAATTTTAAGGATATATAACCCAGAGATTTATTGAAATTGAGATAATTTATAAAAAAAATCCAGTTTTATTTATTCTAACAAAAACTTGAAGGAATTGAAACCGATGGAATAGTATTTAGGAAATTATCCTTAAATGGGGAGCAGCAAGACACCCAGGCATTGGTAAACATGGTTGATAAAAAAAGTCCTTTATATACTTTACAAAGAGAAGTCAAAATCTAAATTTAAACGAATACACCACAGTAGTAGATAGTTTAAAAATGTGATGATATCAATAGAATGCTTGTAGTTGCTAGAAATAGAAAAATTGATCAAATAATTAGTGATCCATTTAATTTTCATTGGAGTGAAAAATATATATAATTATAAATATACAACGGAATGTTTCAGATTAGTCATTCGTTTTTGGTTTTCAATGTAAGTGCTAGTATTTATAGTAATGATGAATTAGAAGTTCTATGAATTTATCCTTTTTTATTTTAACTTTGCAATTCTAATATTAAAAATATTATTATACAAAAAAGATTATTCTAATTTACTTTCTATATTGACAACATGGCCGAGTGGTTAAGGCGTCAGACTTGAAATCTGATTCCCTATGGGAGCGCAGGTTCAAACCCTGCTGTTGTCGTTAACAAGTGATAAATCAAAATTTTTTACTATTACTATCAAAATTATAATAAATTAATATACATGAGCATACTACACAACAAAACCACATTTGGATTACCAAGTATTTCAGGGATAAAATGGGTTTACAATGTTCCATTTGTTAAGTGATATATAGAACTACCCTATATAAAAATAACAATATGGAACAGCACAGAAGTATTTTGAAGAACAAGGTAAAAAAATTGTTCCTTATGTTTTCAAAATAAATGATACTCAGATGCTTGAAGCTTATCTAAGGAAAGAAAGGATTATGAAATTTACAAGAAGGAAAGAAAAATCATAACCAGTAAAAGAACTTTATCACAAACCACAAAGAATTTAGAAAGAAAAGAAATTGGAAGGGGAATAATTTACTGCCTAAATTAACCATGTGTGAGCATCAAGAAATTAAAAAAAGGTTTGGTAAAAAAGAATTAGTGTGGTTGGTTTGATTTGTTTAGGTTTTACTTCAATTATTTGTTCTTGTTTCTTTTTTAAGTGAATTTCTTATATTTTTTGTAAACTATTGTAGTTTATTCTTTGATAATGCTGGTAAAGAAAGACTTGTTGGTTAAATATAGTTCTTATTTTAGTTGCTGAATTTCTTGGGCTTGCTGACTTATCTCCTGATTCTTAACTGTTTCCAATTGCTCTAATTTCTTGGCCAATTGTCTTTCTTTTCATTATTGGGCCACTTCTAAGGCTTCAAGGTGAGTTTCAGCATCTAATCTTGCCTCTTTAGCTTTTTGCTTTCAACCTCAATAATTTCAATGATTTTAATTATTGTTCTATTTCTCTCTTCATTTCATAATTGCTTAATAAATTCTCTTTTCAATTATCTTATCTGTTTCTATTTCTTCATCAATTAGCTCATAATATTTTGAAGCTCTTCAGCAATGTTTTTTCAAGGTTTTTATAATCTTTTATAATTCTTTTTTTTCCTTAGTTAATTTATACTTTTCCACTTTTAAGTTTTCTCTTTGTAATTTCAATTTAAATTATCAATTATACCTTTTTTATATTCATTTGTTATTGGACATTTATTCTTAATAAACTTTACTAACATTTCTTCTAGTTCTTCAGCTTTCTTTTTTAATTGTGTTAATTCTTGATTATCTCAGGTGCTGGGATTCCTTTTATTACTACCATAATATATTATTTTGATACATTCATGAAAGTTTTATGTTGGTTTTGGACAATTAATATATTTAAATTCATCCTTTACCAATGGACAAATATTATTATAAAGGTATTCTTGCCTCTTATAATCCAGAGGGAGAAGTGTTAATACTAAATAAATAAAGCCTTAATTTCTTTAGAAATATGTGTTTCCTTAGTTTTCAATAAATTGAATTCAGCAAAAGGTCCATTAGCAACTTCTTGAGTTTTGACCACATGAGGATTAGATGTTTCAAAAAGAAAATGTTGAAATTTTTGCAGACCATTAATAATTTCCCAAAATTGATTTGATATCCACCTTCATAGCATTGAGTTTTATTCAACCCTGCTGAACTGGATCTTTTCACTACATCAACCACATGTTCCACACAATCTACACTTGTTTTTCAGCAGTGTTTTTTAATCAATCCAAAACTACCATTGCATTTGAATTTGGTATGTCCAGGAATAATGAAATTCAATCCAATACTTTCATAATAACCACAAATAGGGATTTTAACAGTCTGGTCCAGGCCAAATGTACTGCAGACCAATTCAGCCTGGCCTTAGGTATCAAAGATTATTGGACTCTTTGGACCATTGAATTTTTTTTTAAGGTGTCTACTAGTGCTTATTGACCACCATCCATTGCTTTAATCTGTGCCATTAAAAATATGTCTTGTTTAGGCTTGGAAAG